TATGTCCACTCTGTCAATTCCTCTGAGTATCTTATACGTTCCTATCATGTCCCCCCTCTCCCTTCTTCTTTCTAGTGTCGTAAGGCACAGTTCCCTCAGGCGCTCTTCATACCCCATCCCTCGTAGCTCTGGGACGAGTCTCGTTGCAAACCTCTGAACCTTTTCCAGTTTCATTATATGCTTCTTCAGATGGGGACTCCATGATGAGGCGGCATACTCTAAGACTGGCCTTACGTAGGCAGTGTAAAGCGCCCTAAATGCCTCCTTACTTAGGTTTCTGAATGATGTTCTAACTTTTGCCAGTGTAGAGTACGCTGCTGTCGTTATCCTATTAATATGTGCCTCAGGAGATAGATTAGGTGTTACGTCCACCCCCAGGTCGTGTGTGTGTGTGTGTGTGTGTGTGTGTGTGTGTGTGTGTGTGTGTGTGTGTGTGTTTTAAGAGTTTACAGACCACACACACACACAGCCATCACTGTTCAAAGACCTCATCTTGCTCAGTAGAGGAGGTGGTGTGTGCCTAACATACAGTAAACGTTTTCTCTGGATCGTGACACTGAGGCGCTGGAACGGGGAACTGGCCGCTCTTGAGCCTCTAGTTTGCCTAATGAGTTCCTCACCCACCTCCTTTAGGAACTTAAGTGCACATTTACCCCAGGCGCCCAGGGTCTCAGAGCCTATCGGCACGAACCTGTAACAACGTTCTAGGCCCCTGTACTTATTAGTTTTCTGGGTCTCCCTGAAGGTGGCCGCCCCGCCTCCCTCAGCTGCGCTATAAGGTAGATAGGTATCAGCCAATGTAGATGCACACGTATAGTCCCATACGACCTGTTTACCTTCCCTCCATGGCTGCAGGGGTCACTCCATCTGGGCGTTTTTGGCTGTTGTCAGGTCTGCACAACTGGGGTTCCCTTTGTGCTGGACACCCAGCTGTAGCTAAACTTCTCTTGATGATGTCATGGACTGCTTCATGTTTGGCAATCTTTCCCTGTGACTTACGACAGATGAGACCATGGCTGCCGTGTCTGCTGACTCTCAGTCTGAGTCATTGAGTCGGGGTCAAGTCTGCCGACTCTCAGCCCTAGATACACCGGTGTTCGGTGGAGACGGGGGCGAGAAAAAGCAGGACAACACCAGTACTTAAAGGCCGATGGTCCAGGCGGGTGCCCAAGGCGGAATTAGGGATAGCCAACAGGAAGTCCCCTGCATAGGGAGCTTCTACAGCGTGGCGGCGTACTTTATCCTTAGAAGCTTCCTCTACTATGGGGTTGTCCCATTTGGCCTGGGGTAAGGACTAGTTTTAATATAAACATTAAGCTATCAGAGAATAATCATATTTTAGCATTTTCTTTTAACCTATCGAATTCAGTGGCAATTTGAAACGATGCATCATATCTCTACCCACAGTTACTATGAGTCATAACATGTTGATGAAAATGTGGTCAGTCCTCAATTCGTGTTTTTTGCTACATGACGTCCATGCTGGTAAGCAACATAAACAACATGGACTATGTGGGGTGCCTGGAGAAACCCCAGGGGGGAACACTTGGCTTATAATACATTACAGTCACTATGTAGGTCTCACAGTGTAAATGCAGTCACTATGTAGGCTGGAACGTTGAAATGTAGACACTGTAGGTCTGAACGTGTAAGTGTGTGTCACTATATAGGTCTGAACGTGTAAGTGTGTCACTATATAGGTCTGAACGTGTGTGTCACTATATAGGTCTGTACGTGTAAGTGTGTCACTATATAGGTCTGAACGTGTAAGTGCGTGTCACTATACAGATCTGAACGTGTAAAGTCACTATAAGGCGAAACACGTGTTAAGTCATTACGAAAATCTGAACGTATCACCACCATTAGACAGATATGAATGTGTTATCTTTACGCGATCAGCAGTCATTAGACATATGTAATGCATACGTAAGATACAATATTCTATTTTCTTTACTAACAGTGTAATTATCAGCTTTGTTAGGCTCAAAGTGTCTCAGCTGAATTACCGAAGGAAAAAATACATATGCTAGATTCTAGGCCAACCGTCCATCTTTTTGCAATTCTACCAGAGCTGTAATTAAGTGCATGATGAAGATAACTAGTTCTGCAATATATACCTGAATTGTACCTGCTTGATGGGGTCTGGGAATTCTTCTACTCCCCAAGCACGGCTCGAGGCCAGGCTTGACTTTAGATAACTTGATCCAACAGTCTGTTGCCTGGAGCGGCCCGCAGGCCCTCGCATCCACCACAGTCCGGTTGGTCCGGCACTTCTTGAAGAACACTATCGTATTTCTCAAGGAACACCAATGTGTCCCCGTTCTGCCTACAATAGTCTTCCAAGCTCGGTGCCTTCTATGGACAATTACTTGCTCTGTGTGGGGAAAATGCTCAGGAAAATGCTCTCCAGGTGGACACATGAAAACACTCTTCAAAGACATATTACAGTCTCCGTGGTGTAGTGGTAAGACACTCGCCTGGCGTTCCGCGAGCGCTATGTCATGGGTTCGTATCCTGGCCGGGGAGGATTTACTGGGCGCAATTCCTTAACTGTAGCCTCTGTTTAACGCAACAGTAAAATGTGTACTTGGATGAAAAAAACGATTCTTCGCGGCAGGGGATCGTATTCCAGGGACCTGCCCGAAACGCTACGCGTACTAGTTGCTGTACAAGAATGTAACAACTCTTGTATATTTTTCAAATTTAAAAATTTAAATTTAAATTATGCACCGAACAAAAGCAGATTTTTGCAATATATTTTAAAATAAGCGAAAACCCATAATTCAGTTTTTGTCATTCGTTGTGAACTTCACAGTGTTTATTTACTCCCAAAAAAACCTTCCGTGCACTTTGATATGCGATTTTGTACGTCTGTAGATCCATTTTTCCCCAATAAGGGCCAATCAGTGCATCGAAAACCAATTAACCAATCAACTATTCAATGCAAAATACAAATACAACAGTGATATCTGAATGCAGCCGCATCACGCGTGATGCGCCTTAGCGAGCAAGAGTAACTCCAACAGTCACAACAGTAACAGCTGCAACGGCAGCTTATAACACCAGCTCCAACAGTAACAGATTCACCAATAACGTAACACCCTCACAGCAGCTGCCACAACAGCAAACAAACAGTAAACAAACAGTAACAGGAGCCACGGTCAGGTCGGCCACGCTGCCAACTCCGCCATCAGCCACGAACACATCCGAAAACCGACAAACTCGACTCATCTGCATAATTCTCCTGTCACTGAATGTATAACAAATGAATAATGTGGAGCCGGCGTTGTGTACACTGAGGGCCAACAACACTGCATTGTTGAGAGGCGGACCAGTGGGGGGGGGGGGAGGGGGGAGGGGGGGGAGAGGCTGGGAAGATGATGTTTTCACAAGTCAACATCAATTATACCTCCCATAATATTGCCTTTCGTACCTGTTAACGACGACCTGCATGTCAGACAAGCACGTCAGCGTTGGCAGATGATGTGCGGGCGGAACCTACGCAATTTTCAAGGATACAAGTTCCTTTTATCATTGACGAGCTGCGTTTAAAGTTAATGTAACTCGTCTCAAGCAAGACGAGCTGCATTTAAAGTTATGTTCACTCGTGTAAATAAATAATTTTAAGTGGTATGTGTGGGGCCATAAAGGCGACGAAAAATGAAACCAGTCACATCACAAAAATCAAGTCGAAACTGAGCTGTTTCGTCTTGAAAACACGATCTTCAAATGAGGAGGTCAGGACGAAGAGAGAGAGCTGGGGGTGGTGGAGTAGCAGTTCCTTGTCACAATGGAGCCTTGAAGGAATGAGAATATCAGAGTTTACCCACCTGAAAGATTACATATTCAAAAGAGCCATATTAGGAGCCATGAAGACAGTAGCCACAGTCATGTACAACTTCCACCAAATACCAGAACGCCTCGGTGAGAAGAAGACATATGCAGCGAGACATACTTGAAGGTAATGGAAAAAGATGTCCACAGTGACAAGGAAATCGAAGGCGAATATTCTAATTACTTGGGGGAACTTTAACAGCAAGGAAACTGACTAGTTAACACAGGCCTCCCCTCCCCTCCCCCACTCCCACCCCCACCCCGAGGGTGACGAAACGTGCAGAATAAACCTGATGAAAAGCCCAGCGAAGAAATCATCTTGAGGTGAGAGGAAAGGACACAGGACCCGCCAGGGACACAAGCCCTGGGGTTTGTGTACACTGAAGAGGTAGAAAAGATAGATATATGGTGTTCGTGTACAGTGCAACCCGTTCTCGCACTTTGTTACAGTCAATATTGACTTATTAAATACGTGCATATGTAACATACTAGTTTACCTTGTAAAGCTTCATAGAAAACAACGACCTTACCTAACCTTCTTAGTATGTTAAGATAAGCATCTTATTGCTTCGTAATTACAATTATTACTTAACCTATACCTATAATAAGTTAAGTAATAATTGTAATTACGAAGCAATAAGATGCTTATCTTAACATACTAAGAAGGTTAGGTAAGGTCGGTGTTTTCTATGAAGCTTTTCAAGGTAAACTAGTATGTTACATATGCACGTATTTAATAAGTCAATATTGACTATACGAAAGTGCGAGAACGGGCTGTACAGTGTGGCTATGGCAATGGCTGACATAGAAACAGGTTGAGGAAAGCCTTGGAATTACAGGAAGATCGGCTCGTCTACAGGGCGCCTGTCAGCTGAGTGAACAGCACTTCGGATTCGTAGACCTGAGGTTCCGGGTTCGATTCCCGGTGGAGGCAGAGACAAATGGGCAAAATGTTTCTTTCACCCTGATGCCCCAGTTACCTAGCAGTAAATAGGTACCTGGGAGTTTGACAGCTGCTACGGGCTGCTTCCTGGGGGTGTGTAACAAAAAGGAGGCCTGGTCGACGACCGGGCCGCGGGGACGCTAAGCCCGAAATCATCAAGATAACCTCAAGAAGATACACGAATGTGTTATCGGACAGAGTGGTAATAAACTATAGACCAGTGTCATAGCGCGAAGACCTCGCTTCTTGCAGGTCGGCGTTCAATCGCCGACTGTCCAAAGTGGTTGGCCACTAAATCCTTTCCTACATCCTCCCCTAAATCCTTTTCCTCATACCGCATCGGAGTGCTATATCGTCGTAATGGCTTAGTGCTTTCACTAGACATTTTTTAATATTATACCAATACAGAACACTGTTACTGATAGACATTCATTGCAAAGTTCAAGAGAAAGCAGTCGAGACGAGAATAATAATGCATTCGGATAGAATAAACTCAAAGACGGAACAGCATTGTATGAGAGAGGGAAAATCCAGCCTTACTAACCAAATAGAATTCTATGACAAGTCATCAAAATATAACAGGAACAAAAAAGGATGGATTTGCTGTCATTTTCCAGGACTGTTAAAGAGTAGTTGATACTGTGTACACTAGTGGTGCTGCCCCCAACAAAAGGCTGGTTTATACAAGATCAAAATCAGTGGGAAGACAGTTCGATTTTATTTACATACCAGGTGTCCTAGACTATATGAAGAGTCACACACGGGGCCAGCAGTTAATGCCCTACACTGGCCAACTTTGGCTGCAATACGAGGATATCCTCAAGAACACGAGAGTGAATAAAGTCATTGTAAAGTTCCGTTAATCTCCTGGACTGGATGACGACCACTAGACGGAAAATCAATTTCAAGTCCACTGGTGTGGGACTTGAATTAGAAACCTACTCCATTCCCGTGAGTATAAATTACCTCTATTATTAGTCACAACCACACGAGCACCAGGTGTGTGAAGGTCCTATATTCGAACACCAGGCGTGTGTGAAGGTCCTATATTCGAACACCTCTCGCCCACTACAAACACTCACAAGTGTACTACACAACCCAGTCCTCAGTGTCTCTTGCTCCCTCATCCCACTCCCCCAGTACCAATCAGTACTGGTACTGACAGTACTGACTGTCAGTACCTATAACAGTACCTGTTATAGGAGGTACTGCCCCCCACCTACCCCCACACATCCCTCCAAGGTCTGAATACTGCAGGCGACGTAACTCACCCACTGGAGTTCCCTTCAAATATTCAGGTCGTGTACAGCTACGAGTCCGACAAGAGTTTTCCTTTCCAAGGGACTATATTATACACCATTTCCCGTCAGCTGCGAGTGGAAGCGATTGGGCGGTGGTTCTGCTTATTGACGCTCCACGAGACTGGTGTTGTCAGGTAACTTACCTGGGGATATTATTTCGTCTCTGTTCCACGAACTGTCCCAGCTGTGTCTCACCTGAAATATAAGGTAGACTTCTTAATACAGGTAGTGTCAACACGCACGCACGCGCACGCACACATACACATACACATACACATACATACACACATACACACATACACACACACACACACACACACACACACACACACACACACACACACACACACACACACACACACAACACACACACACACTCTACCTCGAGTATTTACATATTTATTCCCAAATACCCTGGTTCACTTCACTCAGCTCATCAGGCAAAGCCTTCCTCCTCTCCTACCAGCTTCCCACTCTGGTGGTGCCGCCCCCCTCCCTGGTGGTGCTGCCGCCCCCTCCCTGGTGCTGATGCTGCCCCCCCTCCCTGGTGGTGGTGCCGCCCCCTCCCTGGTGGTGGTGCCGCCCCCTCCCTGGTGGTGGTGCCGCCCCCTCCCTGGTGGTGCTGCCGCCCCCTCCCTGGTGCTGATGCTGCCCCCCCCTCCCTGGTGGTGATGCTGCCCCCCCTCCCTGGTGCTGCTGCTGCCCCCCTCCCTGGTGGTGGTGCCGCCCCCTCCCTGGTGGTGGTGCCGCCCCCTCCCTGGTGGTGGTGCCGCCCCCCCTGGTGATGCTGCCCCCCCCTCCCTGGTGGTGGTGCCGCCCCTCCCTGCCGCCCCTCCCTGGTGGTGGTGCCGCCCCCTCCCTGGTGGTGGTGCCGCCCCCTCCCTGGTGGTGGTGCCGCCCCCTCCCTGGTGGTGGTGCCGCCCCCCTCCCTGGTGGTGGTGCCGCCCCCTCCCTGGTGGTGGTGCCGCCCCCTCCCTGGTGGTGCTGCCGCCCCCCTCCCTGGTGGTGCTGCCGCCCCCTCTCCTGGTGGTGGTGCCGCCCCCTCCTGGTGCTGCTGCTGCCCCCCCTTTGGTGGTGGTGCCCTCCCTGGAGCTGCTGCCCTCCCTGGTGCTGCCCCCACCCTCCCTTGTGCTGCTGCTGCTGCCCCCTCCCTCCCTTGTGCTGCCCCCCTGCTGCTGCCACCCCCCCCCCTTGTGCTGCTGCTGCTGCCCCCACCCTCCCTTGTGCTGCTGCTGCTGCCCCCACCCTCCCTTGTGCTGGTGCTGCTGCCCCACCCTCCCTTGTGCTGCTGCTGCTGCCCCCACCCTCCCTTGTGCTGCTGCTGCTGCCCCCCCCTCCCTTGTGCTGCTGCTGCTGCCCCCACCCTCCCCTTGTGCTGCTGCTGCTGCCCCCACCCTCCCTTGTGCTGCTGCTGCTGCCCCACCCTCCCTTGTGCTGCTGCTGCTGCCCCCACCCTCCCTTGTGCTGCTGCTGCTGCCCCCACCTCCTTGTGCTGCTGCTGCTGCCCCCACCCTCCCTTGTGCTGCTGCTGCTGCCCCCACCTCCCTTGTGCTGCTGCTGCTGCCCCCACCCTCCCTGTGCTGCTGCTGCTGCCACCCACCCTCCCTTGTGCTGCTGCTGCTGCCCCCACTGCCCTCCCTTGTGCTGCTGCTGCTGCCCCCCCCTCCCTTGTGCTGCTGCTGCTGCCCCCACCCTCCCTTGTGCTGCTGCTGCTGCCCCCACCCTCCCTTGTGCTGCTGCTGCTGCCCCCACCCTCCCTTGTGCTGCTGCTGCTGCCCCCACCCTCCCTTGTGCTGCTGCTGCTGCCCCCACCCTCCCTTGTGCTGCTGCCCCCCCCCCTCCCTGGTGGTGCTGCCCCCCCTCCCTGGTGGTGCTGCTCCCCCTCCCTGGTGGTGCTGCCCCCCCCCCCTCCCTGGTGGTGCTGCCCCCCCCTCCCTGGTGGTGCTGCCCCCCCTCCCTGGTGGTGCTGCCCCCCCTCCCTGGTGGTGCTGCCCCCCTCCCTGGTGGTGCTGCCCCCCTCCCTGGTGGTGCTGCCCCCCTCCCTGGTGGTGCTGCCCCCCTCCCTGGTGGTGCTGCCCCTCCTCCCCTCCCTGGTGGTGCTGCCACCCCCTCCCTGGTGGTGCTGCCCCCCCCCCTCCCTGGTGGTGCTGCCCCTCCTCCCTTCCCTGGTGGTGCCCCCCCCCCTCCCTGGTGGTGCTGCCCCCCCCCTCCCTGGTGGTGCTGCCCCTCCTCCCCTCCCTGGTGGTGCTGCCCCTCCTCCCCTCCCTGGTGGTGCTGCCCCCCCTCCCTGGTGCTGCCCCCCCCCCCCTCCCCTCTCCTAACGAACATTTACATTACCTGTGAGGACGCTGCTCAACATTTGCCCAACTCTGAATAATATATCAAAGCTGTACACGGGCCGATGGCCACTAGTATTAACTAGCAACGTCCATTAACATGTATATTCGCAAGAGCGGAACACCTCTTGCCCACTGCATGGCTCTGAACCTTATTAGCAGCTTGGGTGTAGCATACTCTTGCTCCCCCCAGCCATCAAGCTTCTTCAATTTCGCGACTTGATGAAGACAATGGCCGTGGTTCGATGCCCGCTTGTATGTTTAAATACTCTCTATTCTATTTCATGCGATAGACATAATACATTTCACTGTGCATCTATTTATATATAATTGTGGATATGTTGCTTGCTATAAGGGCGGTAGAGACTATGATTTACTGCCGAGATTCCCCGCCTTACCGACCCATGTTTACACGAAGTTACTATTTTTTTCCCCGCGCCCTGGGGAACTTGCATGGTTTTAGGGGAAGTTTTTTTTTCAGACGGAACCATGTGTTTAAAGGCTTGTGGCGGATGTGGGGAACTTTTGGTAGAAGAAAGGTGGGAGGGGGGGGGGATGAGAGAGGGGGGAGGTGAGAGAGGGGAGAGGGTGAGAGGGAGGAGAGGGGAAGAGGAGGGGGAGATGGAGAGAGGTGGTGGAGGGGAGGGGGGGGATGGGAAGGCAGGGGAAGGGAAGGGAAGGAGGGATGGAAGATAGTGGAAGAGTAAGAGAATCATGAAGGACAGAAAACAAACAGGATGAGAAGGGAAGGCATCACACCAAAATGGCCAAGAAGGATGTAGTGTGAGGGGTAAAAATGGGACGCAGGAACAGGAGGGAAAGATGAGCAGGGTGATGGAAAAGTGTGGACAAGGAGAGTGACCGAAGCGCCTCGAATCAGCTGTCAGGTTTCAAGAGTTGGAAGAAGGGTGAGGAAGCAGGAAGAGGCGTGTCATAGAGGAGTTAGGGTGCAGCAGAGAGGCTAAGGGTGCAGGAATTTACACAGTAGTATAACAACATACTGGAGCGAAAGACACAGAAGGAAATGCAGAATAGAACTAGTGAAGAGCAGACCTGCCATAGGCACCATCAGAGATGTCCAACACCCTCCCAGCGAGCATTATATATATATTTCCTGAACAAAGATGGATATATTCAAGAGGCCCTTAGATAAGTTCTTGCAAGAAGTGCCGGACCAACCAGGCTGTAGTGGACCTGCGGGCCGCTCCAAGCAACAGCCTATTGGACCACATTATCACAAGCCTGGCCTCAGGCCGGACTCAGAGAGTAGAAGAACTCTCAGAACCCTCTCCAGGTATACTCCAGGTATGAGAGAAGATAATGGTGCAGGAATAATGGCATAAGGGAGTATCTGGGGTTTACACAGGACTCCACTAATGGTTCTTCAACATCCACTGATAAAAATGAGAAAAATGATGTCGGTGGCGCTTCTTAACCCTACCAGTCGGTCCAGTTGGTCCCAGGATCAATGTCCTCGTGGCCCGGTCTCTGACCAGGCCTCCTGGTTGACTAGTCAACCAGTCGGATGCTCTGGTACGCATTCTGACGTAGGAATGGCCGTCCGGTTGGTGAGGTACCCGTGGGATGTGTTTATGAAGTCCCTTATCAAGGACGAGAGGGGTTGACTTGTTATGCTCCCCGGATAGTGGATGTTGGACCCCCGGAGGCGGGCCAGTGGGACCCCCCCCAGAGGGCGGGCCAGTGGGAGACCCCCAGAGGGCGGGCCAGTGGGAGACCCCCAGAGGGCGGGCCAGTGGGAGACCCCCAGAGGGCGGGCCAGTGGGAGACCCCCAGAGGGCGGGCCAGTGGGAGACCCCAGAGGGCGGGCCAGTGGGAGACCCCAGAGGGCGGGGCCAGTGGGAGACCCCCAGAGGGCGGGGCCAGTGGGAGACCCCCAGAGGGCGGGGCCAGTGGGAGACCCCAGAGGGCGGGCCAGTGGGAGACCCCCAGAGGGCGGGCCAGTGGGAGACCCCCAGAGGGCGGGCCAGTGGGAGACCCCCAGAGGGCGGGCCAGTGGGAGACCCCCAGAGGGCGGGCCAGTGGGAGACCCCCAGAGGGCGGGGCCAGTGGGAGACCCCCAGAGGGCGGGGCCAGTGGGAGACCCCCAGAGGGCGGGCCAGTGGGAGACCCCCAGAGGGCGGGGCCAGTGGGAGACCCCCAGAGGGCGGGGCCAGTGGGAGACCCCCAGAGGGCGGGAACGCGGAACATGATACACAAGGGGATACGCACGCAAATGCAGCGGGTGCTTACATTTAAGATAAGCATAATAGCCATAAATAAGCATAAATAAGATAAGCATAATAAGCATAAACATCCCGGTCTTATCTACAATCCGGGAGACAAGCCTATCATTTCCACAGCGCGCGAAGAGCGCTTCCAGAGTCCTACAACTACGACATAACTACGCCAGTTCGAGTCTCCTACAACACTAGAATTACATATTCTAAATGCTTTCCTTTCCACCATCTAGTCTGCGGCTGTTGGTCAATGGTAAACCCCCCCACATTCTTAGGTCAATCAACTGGAGCCGCGTTCAACCTTTCTTCAATCGAGGATTGATTTCACGAGGGCTTTGATTGACGCCGAGGCGAAGCAACATGTCCTTTAGTCGACACGGGCCAAACTGGTGGGTCAAGCAATCTTTTCAGGCCCTCTACTGCTCTATTTCCAGTCAAGCCAGGATAGAGCCACAGGGCAAGCCTCAAGAGGTGTGTGGAGAGCCTCTGGAGGAACTCTCACCTCGGGGAAAAGCTTCAGGAGGATCCTAAGGAGAAGGAGCCTTACTTCAGTCCCCCCCCCCCCCCCCATGACAACACTGCCGCAGTGACAACACGTGTGAAAGTCAAATTTCACATCTGT